CAGGAATCACAAATCCTCTCGGATGATCCAAAAAAGACATTTCGATGAAGGGGCTGGGAGTGCAGGGATGAGGGCACCCATAGGAACGTTGAGGCTCCCAGAGGCACGCAATTGCAGGAGACTGTAATGCTGGGGAAGAGTTACCTTGGCACTGAGAATCTGGCTGTGCTGGAAGACCCCACCAGGCAGGAGCTGTAGCTGTGGATGGAAATAGCCACAGCTGGCACCTAAACAACGAAGGAGGCAGGAAGCGGAGAAAAATGCCCCCAAACCTTCTCTCCTCTTGCCTTCAGATCTTTGGCAGGTGACTCCCACTAGCCAAACTCAGTGAGAATCCAGAGGGCAAGGGAGCCCTTGTGATGCAATCTGTAGGTCAGCCCCACCCAGGAGCGCGGAGCAGCGCAGAGGAAGACTCAAGGGGGGCAGACGGAGCATAACTAGCTCAGTCGTTTTGTCTGTAAGGCATCAAGCGCAGCCAAACTGGTTTAAAATAAAGGAAGTGTATTGGCTCACATGCACTGGCGGTCCAGAGGGAAGGTAGCATTCACACTTGCTTGTACCAGAGTTCCCATGCAGAGAACAATTACTTCTGTCCTTCTGTTCACCAGTTGAAGAGTTGGCTTCATCTTTGGCTAATTCCTCTTAGGTCATAGAAGAGGCCAGTAGCAATCAAGGCCACATACTTTCTTGCTCCCATCCAGCAAACGAGAAAGGTGACTTTCTATAGCTCGCCCCACAGTGCAAAGAGTCTCCTTTCCCAGGAACGCCCAGCAGATTAATAGGGTATAGTAAATGTTTGTCAAGAAATTATAATATTCTCCTAACTTATTACCAGAATGACACCAATGAATTGAAAACAAAAATACTGGCTCTAGATATTTTTTGTAATTACATAGTACGTTTCTTTTCAACGGCTTGCTCTTTTTTTCCTTTTTCCTGCAGTCTACGAAGGTACCTCCAGGCTGGTGGCAAGCTACAAAATACCTTACTCATTTGAAAATGGACAGACTGTGTCTCAGGAAAACAGCTAGTAAAATGAATTTTAAATAATGTATTTACTTTTTGTTTGTAATGTTAATTTGTGTTGTTTACTGTTGCTTTTATAATAATAATAAGTAATTTTATTATTATATAGTATTTGGGAAAAGCACCCAGTTAAGAAGGGAAATTTTAATAAGTTTCCACTTAAGTTTTGTCACCGGGATTACTAGTCAAACAAAAAAGAAGAGTAGGAAGGAGTTTAGATCTGAGGAATTGAATTAATAATAAAGCTACTATTTATCCAAAACTTACTATGTGCTAAGAGTTTGAAATACATTATTTCCTTAATTCTTTTAAGAATCTATGATCCTCATTTCTCATGTATAGAAACAAGCCCTAAGAAGTTAAATAATCTAACCCAGTTTTACAGTTAGGAATAGGTAGAGCTGAAACTGGAACCAAGATTTACCCAAGTTCAAAGTTTGTGCTATTAACCATCATTTTTTTTCATTGGAGTTGTTGCAACCTAACTCACAATATAACCCAAGACTTCACACTAAACTGTGTTTTGCCATGACACTGAGTCACTGGTGCATTTTCCTGCAGAAACGTCCTGGATATATGTTATTGTTACCATCATGCTTTCTGTAGTCTTGACTTTCATTATGCTTCTTTGCTCCTTTATAAATTCTCAGTAATATGCATACATTCTTACATTTCTAAAGCAAACAGATTTGCCCCATAGCTAGGGTAATGAGCAGAGATGGGAAGTAAATGCCTGAAGTCTTTAAGCCCCAGGTAAGTGTCTATGCTTGCTAAAGGAGAGGTAATGGCACTGGAAGAGGCTATGTATCCCGGGGTAAATGGTCAGTGACAGTACAGCAGAGCCCAAGCAGACACTGGCTGTGACCATACCCTCATTTGTTCTTCTAAGAAAACAGTACCCGTGATTGCTCTCAGGTGAATTTTGGTGCAATCAAATTATGACCATAGTCATCTGTTACTTGGGATCACCTTGCCAAATGCTCCTTCAACTCCAGATTACGGTTAATAAAGATTCTTTTTAAACCTGAAAAAGCAGAATGCACATTGTGCCAATATTCCATAGAATATGGAATTTCCTACATCGCCGGGTGGATCATTTATAAAAACTGATGAGATGTCCTCAAATTGCTACACTTTGGCTGTTGTGCCTGTCAGAAAAGCAGCTTTTCCAGAATTTTTGTAAATTTTACTTTGCAGTGTAGACTCCGCACCCAAAGTGAATGAGAGAATTCAGAGAAAAGGTGAAGTTGTCTATTACCTTTTATCACATGTCATGTTTCAAGTGAGACTGAGGCTGTGCTTATGTAGAACACAGAAATAGCTCAAATGTCCACGAGAGCTAACTGAGACAACTGATAATTTTCTAAATCCATTTTTTCTCCTGAGAGTGACCATTCTTGAAATAGGATCAGTTTCAACCAATCCATGTTGTATACACTTTATTTTCAAAAGCCTCCTCTGAGCTCCTTCATGCTCTTTCTCTTTCTCAGTCTTCACTGATAGTAAGAGTGCTTGAAACAAACAGACAGAGGTTGGTTGACCAGTGGATCCTCTCAAGACAATTCAAGCTTGGGAATTTTCTTTTGATTCTAAAATATTAAATTGAAATTGGTAGATCGAACTACCAAGGAAGTACTCCAGAGATTTTCGTGTCTTTTCAAAATGTATTTTATAATTGTTTTGCATACATTAAATGACCTTGTTTATGTAAACTGTCAGTATTATCATGTAATAAAATAGATTTGTTTTTAAAACAAAGCAAATATGTTTACTTAGGAATTTTCTATTGTTACCATGAATTATTAATAGAAATAAATTTGAACATTATTGCCTTAAAAAACCTTATATATTATAGCAACTATCATTAATACGTTTGAAATAGTCTACTCTGACCACGTGTTTTCCTTCGAAACTAAAGAATTTGGAAGTGTGGTAGACACCTATGAGATTGTCTGCCCAACATCCTGGCCATATTTTTTAACCTCAGCTCCCACCTCCAGCTGCGTTTGGTTGGTCTAAGGCGGGCACTTGAGGAAATTGGACCAGTTGGAGTCATTCCCAGGGAAACTGGGAACTTGAAATAAAGTTACTCTTCTTTGGGCTCGTGGGGTATACAGACGTGCATTTTGACACTTTTGGCGGTCATATTTTGCTCCGTGCGGACCAGAAAAGCAAAAGAAGCTGGTGAGAGAACAGAGGTGAGAGGTGAGTTTCCCGATAGTCTGAGTTCGTATCCCGTGCATTCTCAAAGTTTAGATTCATCCCATTCCCGTGTGCAGCCTCCATGAGACCTGCTGGTATCTTTATAATAAATTCCTCATTTGGCTTAAGCTAGTTCTATTTGGATTTCTGTAACCTGGAACCAAGATCCTGACCAACTCTGGTGCATCAGGAGGTTGTGGACAACAGTTTCTTAAAGCAGAAATGACATCCTTTATGAAACATTATGTTAAAATCCCAGAGAGGAGGGTGACTTAGCCAGCTGAGAAGGAATCAGGGAAGGCTCTTGAAGGAAATTACATCCGATGACTAGCTCTGAGAAATAAAGGTCTCTGCCCAAATTCTGGGTAAAGCCAGGTATTTCTGGGATCCTTGTCAAATTCTACAGAATTTCTTGGAAAGCTCTAGCAGTGGAGGGTCTAGTGGGTGTTGCTACAAGGGAATGTGAGAAGGGATGGAATCAAGGCTTCGTACCTTGTTCCAGAATGTCCTGTGCATGACAGGGTAAAATATTTGGGCATGTGAGGTGAGATGTTCCCGATTCCAATACTGTTATATTATTAAGCGATGGGCTGAGATGGGGGAGAGCTTTTATTTTCTTTCCTGAAGTGGATTATTTGGGCTTTTACATTTTCCACTCTGTATCACTGCCCGTGGACTTGGCAGGTTACATAGACAGTAGAGTAAATTGTTCTGGGTCAAATAACTTGCTATTTGGATAAGGCCCTGGTTTGTGCAAAATTCTGTGAAGGAAGTCCAGGACATATGTCAGCGCTTGTGGTTTTAAGACCAAACTATGGCCTTTATGAGACCTCCGTTTTAGTATATTTTGCAGTACTATATTATGAGAGCCTAAATATATTGGAGCATTGCTGTCATTCATTCATTCAAAAATACTTATCAAGTACCTACTAAGTGCCAAGTACCTCAGTTCTGGGACCTCATCAGTGGACAAATAGTGGTCACCAGCTTATGTTGTAGTGGATATACTCCTTCATAGCATTGAATTTAAAACAAGGCTTATCCAAGAATTCATGTTATCCAGAGGACATTGTCATTAGACTTTCAACCTATACCACTGTCTTGCAGCATGAAACTCGAGATGAGCATTCACAGAGCTCAGTATATGGTAGGAAGAGTAGATTTCTTTTGACCACCAAATAATTTACATATTTTAATAATGACTGTCAGCAAAAAAGAGTATAGCTATGTTTCTTTGGTGTAGGAATCTTGGT